TTTGATACAATGACAAGATAATGGTATTTCATATATATTTTCCACATATGATTCTGTAGTTTAAGCATATTTGATAAATTATGTAATAACCGACCCAAAGTGTAATTCTTTCATGGAAGAGGTAGGGAAAAGATAACAAGTTACTTACTTGATGTTAAGAAAGTGCTCTAGGGTGTAACTGTGAGCTTCATTTCAAATGCAGGCAGATTAGAGGTTGTTCTTGTGCAAAGTTTGCAGAAGAAAAGGGTGGATAGACTGAATGGACCACCTTGGTTTAGAAATAAAAACTCAGCAGATGAATGGACAAATTAACAGAGAGGTTTCCTAGCAACTGGCTCAGGACAATGAACTCACTCTCATGGGAAGAATAAGTTTCATTTTCTTCATCTGAAAAACCATATGTAAAAGTTGTTTATTGCAAAGCAAGTCACAACTGTTAAGATCTGGTTATTAAAACAAGAGGGATGTCTTTGCCCAAATTAAGGTGCAAATGAGACCGTACATAAAAATCATTAGTATGGATTTTTGTTTACCAGTAAATGTGAGGGACAGAGGGAAAGATAGAAAGAAATAGGAAGAGAGAATGTGTGCAGGGAGAGAAAGAGAATGACAGAGAGACAGAAAATATGCCACTACTGCATGGATTCTGTTGGTTCCCTTCTGGTCTTCTCAGTGATGAGGGTCTCAGTCTAGCCAAAGTGATGGTCACTGTCTTAAGCCATGAGGTGGGGAGAAACCCATAAAGCACAAAATCTACTGGGTTTATTTTTATTCAGGTTCAGGTAGGAATGCCCAGGTATGTCCCCTGGATGATATAATACTTTGGATYGCAGAAGAATTCAGGAGTCTGAKGGTTTATGACACCTTCTAAGACTAAGACATCACAGCTGACTCTTATGGCAGTGAAATTGAGTCAATTATCGCCCAAGCAAGGGGCCATACCTTCAGTCTGGGTGTGAATGTYCTGCTGTGTCTCTGGAAGGCTGTAAGGACTTTGGCATGATAAAAAGCACTCCCCTGACTTTCAGGATTTGCCTTTTATCATCCTCTTCCCTTATCTTGTCCAACACACAGCTATAGTCTCTGGAGATGGTGTGCATGCCCTCTGCACTGGGGCAGTTAAACATTGATTATTTGAGTAATTAACAAGCAACAGTCCAGTCTCACACAACAATCTCTTAGATTTATGAAATGGAAGCAGAAAAAAATCCAGACACAACTTYGTCTCAGTGGGGATTGGAGATGGCTGAAGAACTATTCATTCCCCATCGGTATTCTCTGAAAWTTTTCTTTTTCCATCTGCAAACACTCCACATTAGGACGAGTGCAAAAGACAAATGTAATGATGTCATCACTATTGAGCAAAGTATGCACATTATGTGATCCTTGGAGTTTTTTTGAATTTGGGCAAGTATTTCCACATCAAAAGCAAATGCTAATGTATAGGTGGCACCCATTTTTGAAAAAAAAAAATCTTTTCAAGCCATACCTTACTTGTAAAGCTAATTAGATGCATTGCAGACATGACTGTGACCTCAGACAACATGCCACACTGAACCACAGAGACCCACAGCTTGACACAGAATTCAGCACTGGAGTTGCCCAGAACCAAATGAATGGGATGCTTGGGAGCATAATATGAATGGTACAATAATTTGTAGTCCTGGAGAGAAAAACTAGTGATGACATTGTTAGCTTTATTATTGTTTATTTGCTGCTTAATGCAGACCAACAGTGTACTGCAGGAAAAATATATGTTTTAATTTGTATAGCACAGTAGCATTTACTAACTACTGAAACGTGGGTTGCTGATGCAAGGTTAGCTGATGCTAACCTTGAAGGTTACTCTTAGCTTTYCTGCAAATCATTTATAGTTGGTTGTTGAACCTATCAGTTTTGTTTTGTTTTAAGTTTTATCTTCAGTAAAATGTAATATATGTTTCACACAGTAGAAGTTTATAGTGAGAAAATAAAAGTACCTTTGATACTTGGTTAAATGGATAATACATGATGCTCAAAACACTACAGAATTTGAATTTTTCTAATAAAATGCTACTTTGAAATAACACATTTCTTGCAACATATTCCCTGTCAAAAAATAGCACAAAAGTAGTGAAATAAAAAGCAGCTTTTAAAGACGTTCACTTAATAGTATCAAAATTTAGACCTAGACAAAGAAATTTAAACACCTCTAATTTCAGCTTTGAATAAAATTGAGTCCACATAGTTGCTGATACACCAGGATGTTCCAAATCATGTTAGTCCAGGTGTGAGAGCCTCCTACACTGTTTACATCCACGCCACCCAGGTTTTGTCTTCCCCCAAGGGGAGAGTATGTCTCTGCTTTTCCTGAAGCATCACATCTTTTTCCACTGTCAGAAGACTAAAAGCAGAAAAAAGTTTCTGACTTTAGCTATTTTTTCTAAATGGGGTCTCTGCTGTATTCCCACTTAATAAGTTGTGGTTTTTATTTTTTTAAATCTGGATTATAATTGTTCAACTTTAAGTAGAAATTGCAATGACAGAGTGTAGGTCTTAAGACATAAAAAACCAGAACATCAGTTTAATTTCCCCAAAAACCTTTTGTGGCCTAAAGCCTCTCATTACAGGATAAACTATTTAACAAATAATCTGTCTTCCAAGACTTGGAAGAGTCTGTAAAATTAAAGACCACTTTACAAATGCCAGTGAACACCAGTAATGCCATATGGTTTTTTAGAGTTCCTGGTCAAACATATCTCCTACTTATCTAAATGGAAGCTAAAATATGTCCTTTTTTCTTGAATATGGTCAAGGATCTAATGTCTGATCATACACCTATTTTTATTAAAAACAGTGAGTTTAATCCTCTCACACATCCTCAGGAATGCTGGCTGCACAGCCTGTCATGTTGTCATAAAAGTGTTTTTATGGGGATCTATTGTACTGCACTGCTCTCCACTTAGAGCAATGATTCTTTCAATTGCTGCTTGTCTGCCCAGTTACACAGGTGTGCAGATGAAATACATATATTTTTCCTGATAAGAATATTAGGATTCACACTTTCATGACCCCTCTAGAAGTCAGAGTGACAGAAAAGACTTTTAACAGCTCCTGAGCAATTAACTCAAACAGTTGCTATCCACTATGCTATTCTTCACACTTAACAACAGACACACATTAGATGTAAATTACCATCAAGAGAGGATAAATRTGGACTGATTCTGGTCWTATCCTTTATATAACTAAAGMTTTGTAGCAAGATCACTAATCATSTTGAGCAACSCACGTTTCAGTAGTTAGTAAATGCTACTGTGCTATACAACTTAAAAAATGTATATCCTGAATTTGACTCCTGGTAGGAGTGTGGGCTCTTCTTCCCCATTTCAAGCTGTAGAGTACTCAKATTTTCTTTTCCACTGCTGTGATTTCTGATATGCCAGAGTAAGAATATAAGAATTGCATTATGGCCTGACTGGTCTGAATTTCTTCCCTTCAGCAACTTCATTATCCAGGCCACCTGAGAAGGCAAAACACTCCCACGGTAATCACACTCTTAGATTTACAGGGTTATTAAGCTATAGATCATGCCCGTATTCACTTTGGCCTCAGAACAGCCCTGATGTCTCCATCTCTTTTTTCCTTCTTTGCATGTGAATATCCTTTGGTAAAGATTTTGCCTTGGTGTTACATGGAATATTAWGATATGTTAGTTCAGAAAATGTAAATGACGAGAAGATTGACTGAAGAAGTGTGCCAAGATGTACTGCAAAGGACCTCTGCTGCCTAAAAAGAAAAAACTAAATTATAGAAGATTGGATCTGAAATGAATCCTATTTCATCTTGCCATTAATGACCTTGGCATAAGAGAAAGAAGTATGCAAATGACAATTGTACGGTACAAAATTGGACATCTTACCAATACAGCAGATGATGAAAATAACAGATGGGAGCAGACAAGAAATGCAATCCTACRAAGAACAAGGTCATGCACACATGAACGACTGGTTATAAAGTAGGAGCTCGTAACTTGCAAACCTTGTTTGCAAACCTCGTAACTTTATCCTTGTTTAAGGATAAAGATTTCAAAGTATCTACATGAGCACAGAACAAGTATGTGCCAAAAAACAAGCAAATATGAATCTAAGTGAATTCAGTGACAAATTTCCAGCACAGATAGATAGCTATCAACACTTACACACTTGTAAGATTTTATTTTGAATGCAGGGTACAATTCTACTTACTCAGGATCAGAGTTATTCATATTAGTACCATTGCATGGGATAGAAATACATAATTCAAGGAAAGACTGTCATTGTTTTCTTGGTTAGCCAAATACACCAGATCTGAGAAGGGAAATGCCTATACTAAATTAGCATTTCTGAAAGTGAACTTTGGGGTTAGAATTCTAAAAAACTAAAAATTTGAACCAGTTTTCTCTTTGTACCCTCTAGATATATTTTTCACTTTTCAGGTTTAAAGGAGATTTCAACAGGAAAGATGAGAATCAGTTCATATTTTCTCAATCACATTTACATTAAATTTCTCTATATTAACAAAAATCAATCTGTGTTATCTTTCAAGTTATCCTTATTTCAGAACAGAAGTAAGACATATTCCAAATGTCACTGCATTGCAGTAAAGAGGAAAAGGAAGAAAGCWCTTGATTTCCGAGAGGACTTTTTAATACCAAGGATAGAATCCGAAATATTTCTGTTCATCTCCTTAATKAATTTCTTTGTGCTAGTTGGAATAATTCTCTTTGAACATGCAAATATGCACAATGTGCTTTAAGCAAAGTCAAAGTTATTAAAAAACTGAAATGCTCTTCTTTAATCCCTATTAATAATTGTATAAATGCAGTGTTCTGATAATCCTTGCAAGAGGGTATTAAGACACATACATTTTTTAAGATGAAAGTTGCATTCAAGAGTTGCTCAAACTGGACAAAACACCCTTGTGAACTACCTTGAACACTCAGATTTACTGAGTTTTAAACTGCCACTTCATCCCTGTTTCAGCAAGCGTCCTCTGCAGATTTAATGATCAGGAACATCCTCCTGATGCACGCTGGGAGATATGGCTGCAGAGTCCAGACCGCAGCRGACACCGTGTCAGACGAGACAGAGCTGCTTGTTAGGGGTGAGTATGCTTGTGGTGTGCCCCTGAAAACACAACCACCACACCCTGTTGTACTAGGGAATTTAAATACCTCAGCTTCAGGGATGCCTCTGCCATGCAGTGGTGCTCAGATTTTATATTATTGAAGCCATTTGTGATGAACCTACTGCCTTTGAAAGCAGTTTGACCATGAGCTGACACCCAGACACGAAGAGAAACAAAAGACAGTGGGTTAATGGACAAAGTCTTAAGAGAGGTAACACCACAAAAGGTACATCAGATTAGCTAAAATGCAAACCATTAGCCTCCACAGACCTTTGTAAGGTAGGTATAATGAGTTTTTTTGGGKTTTTATGTGATGCTTTTCATTCCATTCTATGGTCAAGCTGTTCTTTCAGCTTTAGCACTTCAGGAGCATTGATTCATTTCCTAAGAGGAGGGCCCATGCAGTCTTTTGTAAAACTACAGGTATGAAAAAGGAAACAAAACCCCCCATAATATGACAATAATTTGGGGTTTTTTTCATGCATGAAATCATTAGCACCAATTTTTACTGCATCTTTAGGCCCAATCCTGTAGACTGTTAAATTGCTTCACCTGTCTTTTAACGTTCCTGTTTACCCACAGGAACACAGAGTCCTTTTCCTGCAGGATCCCAGATCATACCGAGGGTGCCAACTAGTTTACAGTAAAACAGGGCACCAGCACCATCTGTGCCTCCCATGAAGCAGAGTATTTCTGCATTCTGCACTATTTATGTGCGTGTATGTGCGTACAAACATGTGTGCTCAGTGACTGATGGGATCTGAGGACTTGCAGTCCACTTACTGGCATAACTGGTGGGTCCTGTAATGTCAAGAGAGATGGATCACTGTGCTAGGTAGCACAGCTGGGTAGCCCTSCTGAGGATTATTCATTTTTGAAATAATTAATCAAGGTAGATATTTAATTAACATTTGAAAAACTCCAGATAAAAAAAAAATAAGTCAAAATTATTCAGATATTATAACCTTCCAAAAATTTTTATTCTACAACATTTCACAATATCTTTAGACTTGATGTGTTTTGATGTGTTTTTATCCATCACTTTTAGGACAAATATGTTTTCAATGATAAAGAATGTTTCTGGCTGACTGCAGGGCTCTTCATATTTTCATGAAAGTAATCGTTAAATATTTCCATAAAGACACTTTGAGGACCATCAKGTTTCTGTGAGCTATGGCACTATTGGGATGGCTGTATTCAGTTGACTCATCACAGCCATGTAATACCATTTTAGCTGCCTTATGAAATCTGATTCATCCTTGTGGGCTATGCAAGACCTTTTGTGTTTACTTTTGTCTGTCTCAGACAGGAGCTGGAGGCTTTATGGATAGACAAGGCAATCTAAACTTTAAATTGAACTTTTGTTACAAAAATCTCTTAGTTATTATCCAGGATAGACTGATTACTTACTTTTTAAGAATATTGGTTATATAAATTAGTTTATTGAATTTGCTGTAGAAATTAAATGATTCTCTGAGGAAGAGGTCTGAGATTAAATTTTTTAAAAAGGCATTGTAAGCAATATCAGGATGCATTTATGTCTCATTACCATATCACCGTGCTGTTGAAATAACAATTATTACAACATTGTAGTGGAATTTAAATTCTAATATACTTTGCTTACAATTTTTTTCCTTTTCTTGTTTCTACAATTGGATAATTATAGGGTGGAGTAAGAAATTTTCTTTTGTATTGCAGAAAATGTTTAAGACACATTCAGTGTAGGGTTGGTAATGACTAGTCCTTACAGACTSTGACAAAATCATAAATATTTATGAGAATCTAATCTATTTCTCCCTATGGTTTTACAGGAATTTCATTTCAGTATCTCTAATTTCTTTTTCTCCCTTTTCTCAGTCTATAGAGTGCACATAGTGGTGTGCAATTTGACACCAATGATCCCAAATCACAGCACTTTTCAATCTTCTTTATGTTTAGCTTTTGTTGATACTGGACATTGCTTAGGAGAAGATACCAGCAGAAACAGAGGTTTCAGTAAATATTTCAGTTAAGTCTGAAGAACTTCACCTAACAAAGGAAGTCATCTTCTATGAAGAACACCCATTATCATTGTGCAGTAAAGTCTGTAATCCAAGTCCATATAATTCTTTATTTCCAGTACAGTTKATTGCTAAAATAATTTCATTTTATGCATATTGCAAAACACCCCTTTCTTTTAAATGTTGCAGCATATAGCCAAACTGAGATAGCAGTTTTGTAAGAACTCTTACATGTACTGATACAAGCAAAGCTAAGCACGTCTTTGTTCTGACCTTACCTTCTCTCCTTTTGCCTCTGCAGAAAATGCCAGTGATAATACTGATTATATCATATCAGCGTATAATTCCATTTCAATCATTACTTTTATTGTAAGGTTSACCCAGTATTTTAATACATCATTGTATTTTTTGCTTGAAAATTGTTCTTACAACGTTTCTACAGGAAATAGATTGGGCATACAGAATAAATTAAGTTAAAATAATCTCATTCTCCCTCCTTTAGGTTTTGTAAATATCAAAATTACTACTATTAGCAAATTGACTAATTTTAAATTTACGTATCTATTCAACTGGTTCATTCTTTTTAAGTCAAAAGAGTGTTTTTTCAGAACTTAATTACAAGTGGTGTGGAAGAGTACTCTACCTTGTTGCAACCTCCTGAGATGGAGCAAGCAGAAACAAACTTTGCAGACTTCTGTTGCTTGTAATTAACATCCTGATCTTTAACAGGTGGACATTCAGCACAGTATTTTCATGGAATTGCAATGTCTCAATATCATTTATCATAGGGAAGCATGGAGCATCCTTAAACAGTATTTATCTATTTTTAAAACCATTTTTACAAGTTGCTGTACCGGAAGTTCCCTTGAATATATGCCAGGGAATGTCATTATATTTGCCCTTGTTCCTCTTTGATCTGCATTATACATTGAAAATTAAATTCCAGATACAGCACCAATGAAAGACAACATGAAGAACAGAGAATGAACAGTGCCAAGTAAATTTCAACTACTTTTGGTCTAATTACTCAAAAGAAGGTAATTAATGGTTAATAAATGGTTAATTAATGGTTAATTAATTACAAGAAGATTTCTCAATTTACTGCTAATATGCGTGTGTCTGCATATGTATTTGAAACAAAGGAAACTAAGACAGCAGCAAGTTTCTATTTTGCAGCTTTCTATAATGTTGTTACATGTTTTTTAAACATGAATTTTAAATTTTCAAATTCACTACCTCACAGGTCTTGAATTTTGGTAAGCTGCAGTGAAATACATGTATAATATTTTTTCAATAATGATTGTGACCTAGTGAATCTCTTTCAGGTACATTTCAAAGGTATATATGGAAAGGTATTCTAGATCATGCTTGGACAAAATCAGGATTCAGGTCCCATCAGCACTTACTACTCAAAAACAAATTCCAAATACTTCTCTAAGTGCTATGTAAAGGTGATTAAACATGTATATTAAAGTAAGAAAAACATTTTAGGGGTCCCTAGCAATTTTTTTTCTAATGCTACCAGTAATGTGAGTTTCATTATGAAGAGGTGTTCTGACAGCCGCTGGACCTGTGAAACTTTCCAGCTTAAATGTCTTGCATTTATTCTTGGAGTGGGTTGTGAATTCAAAGGATTTTGGTAGTCTCATGCCACTCAACAGTGACCTTCAAGGGTGAATTGTCCTGATATACCTGGCTTCATCTGCTTATATTCAGGTAGGCTACTACCTAAATTGCAAAACTGTTTCCTCTCCAAAATGCAGGTCTCCAAAATTTTCTGCATTCATTGTCACATGTTGCTTTAATTATTAGATACCTATAAAAAAGATCTTTTATTCATCCATCTGACATCCACCATCCCCTCAAGACACACACCACTGATTCTGTAGAGGTCCCCAGAGAGTCCTTTACTCTCTGAATATGGGGAAGATGAGAGAGGATTCAGATCAAAGGCCAGAATTGGCTTAAGGCAGAAGAGGCAATGCCAATCACTTTCAGCAGATGCAGTGCTCATGTATGAGGCAGGATAACTCTTTTCATCTGTCTCAGATCTGGTCTCAAAATCATATTTTTTCCTTAAAAGCATGCTCTACCTGCAGGTGGCTGTTAGGTGAGATCAAGACGCGTTCAAGCCTCTATTGAGGCAGCGGAGCCAGGAGMACAGAAATCAGGTGACAAACAAATGAGCACCTGGATGTGTAGGGCACGATGTAGGGCATCTTCAGCAACCCAAATATTTTCTTCTTTCATTGAATTGACTCCTGCTTTAGAAATGAATAGAGGTTCCTTCAGGCTAARCTCTGTCTATGGCTTAAGTCAACACACTGAACTGCTTATTGGAAAGGGAAAAGCTRAATAAGAGGCATGCGCCCTCTGCACCAGGTTGCCGTCCACTGGGGCAACGATGCAGATGGTGGTAAATCCTTTAAAGTCACTACAATATTTTTCTGGAAGACAGTCATCAGAGCCCACAACAGCAAGAGATTTATAGGCTGATACACCTCAAGGACATCCAGAAGAGAAAAAGCTTTTCACAAAGGCTGGTAACTATTCTGGCACCATGGCAGCACAAATGTGCTACATCGAGTGCAGTCCATGACAGAAATTATGGATGTCTGATGATCGAAGAAATAGTTTCAGTGAAGTGAATGAATACAACAAAAATCACCACTATGGGCTTACATTCAAGTCATTACCTGATTTCATTTCATTTATGTCTTCTGCTGTTTGCTCACCCAAGGAAATGCAGGATACCTGTTTGCCATGCAAACAAGAATGCTTACAGGGGAATGYAGATATACTTGCCACACAATCAACAAATGTTTTCCTCAGCAAATTAAGTCAAGAACCATTTAAGAAGCAGAAGTGATTTATGATTTTTATGAATGTCAATCCTGTCCTTGACATCAGTCCAAGAATAGTTTTCCCATGTCACATGCTTTTTCTGGCTACTAGCCTTTATCCTCCCAGATCCTC